TTTTTTTCCCCTTTTTTTCTCGGAGGGTGGACAGACCCTATTTATGTACCCCTTGCCTGTCCACGCTATGCACCATTGCCACCAACATTTAACACTCCCCCTTGGTGGTAATCGATACTCCCCCGGATCCATATTTTCTATCCTCTTCATAAATCAAGTCACTTCACGCCCAACGCCATCCTGAATTCAATGAACTTATCCTTGTTCAGGGCCTTTGTCATCCCATCCGCGACCTGCTTTTGTGTTGGCACGTACTTCATGTCTACTGTGCCGTCTGCCACCTTCTCGCGTTGGAAGTGGTGTGTAACGTCGATATGCTTCGATCGATTGTGGTGCTCCGGGTTCCTCGCGAGGGCCATGGCTCCTTGGTTATCGCAGTAGATTATAGTTGCGCTGACCTGTGGTTGCTCTAGCTCCTTGAAGAGTTCTCTGAGCCATACCGCCTCCTTCGTAGCCTGGCCCTGACCGATGTATTCCGCTTCGCAGGAGGACAGTGCAACGACCGATTGTCTCTTGGCCTGCCAGGAGATTGGTCCACTTCCGACGTTGAATACGAATCCAGACGTGGAGCGTCGTGTGTTTGGGTCCCCTGCGTAGTCTGAGTCGGTGAAGCCGGTCAATGGCTGTAGTCGTCCCTCGTAGACCAATTTCATGTCCAGCGTGCCGCGCAGATACCGTAGGATTGTCTCGACAATCTTCCAATGCTCTTCTAGAGGGTTTGACCCATACCGACTGACGAGAGACACTGCGAATGCAATGTCCGGTCGTGACCCCAGCATTGCGTACATCAGGGATCCAACAGCACGTTGGTACTTGCTCCGCAGGGCGTCGGGTGCGGTGTATCCTTCTGGGATACGTGGCGGTTGAGCTTGATAAGCGGATATCGGTACTACGGCGACTTTCTGGTTCATTAGACCGAATTCATCAATGATCTTCTCGATATAGCCCTTCTGTCCAAGATAAAGCTTTCGGTGCGGCCGATCTCGATGAATGGTCATTCCCAAGTAGTAGCTGCACGGTCCGAGATCTGTCATCTGGAATCGCTCGTTCAGGCGCTGTTTGATCTCGCTAATGGACTCCTTCCGTGGTCCCAAGATCAGGAGGTCGTCAACGTAGACGGCAATGTATTCACCGTCCCTTGCGAAGACACTGTGGTCGGACGTAAGGGGCTCAAAGCCGAGCTCCTTTAGGTAAGTTGATAAAGTCTGGTACCAGATGCGTGGTGACTGCCGAAGCCCGTATAGTGCCTTCTGCAGGTGGCATACTGTGCCGGAGTTTCCATATCCCGTTGGATGCTCTACCCATACGTCCTCCTTAATCGCTCCGTATAGAAACGCCGTCTTGACGTCCATTTGTTCAATTTCAAGGTCCTCCGCAGCGGCAATAGCGAACAGCGCTTTGTAGCTCATTGGCTTTACGACCGTTGCAAAGGTTTCTGCGTAGTCGAGTCCCTCTTGTTGCTGGTTTCCTCGAACTACCCATCGAGCTTTGTACTTCAGGATGGAGCCGTCTGGTCCTCGCTTAAGCTTAAACACCCATCGTCCTGGAAGGATTCTCCTTCCGTGGGATGAAGGCTCGCTACGGTTGACCTCCTTCCACGTTTGATTGTCGGTCAGCGACTTCAGTTCATCCTCCATCGCTGCCTTCCATTCTTGCCACATCGAGTCCTGTTTGGCCTCCTCGTAACTCTTTGGTTCGTAGGGCTCGGCCGCCGTGTTGGCATGGTACGCGAGTAGGTGTAGGTTGCCGTCGATCCGAGAATTGATGCCTCGACCTATTCTCGTTGACCGACGAAAGCCTGGTCCTTCCTCGATCGTCCTGCTGTGCACGACCCTGGGGCCTGGAGCCACTTGTATAACGTCGTCGTCATCTGAGAGGGTCGCTGAAGGGATCATTACTCCCCCCGCTCCTAGCTCATCGGATTCGTCGCTATTTATGAGGTCTCCAGGTTCATTTTGACTCGTCGATGGGTCTAAGAGGGCCGAGTCTGGTACCCTCCGTGTATCCTCTCCCCCCCAGCTCGGCGACTCGGCTATATCGACGTCCTGTCGAGCTGTGGTTCGGGGTTCAGTTCTATCAATCACTGGGTCTACAGTGCTTCTGTGGTGCTTGGTTGGGGGCTCCTTATCGGAGCTTTCCTCCTCCTCACCAGCCCCGTTATTCTTTTCATCGAATACTACGTCCTTTACCCAGAAAGTTCTTCCGTAGTCATCAACGACGCGATAGTGTGAATCTTTCCGAAAGGCAAGAAGTCTTACGGCCCTTGACTGGCCGAACCTCGGTCGATCCTTCTTCGGGATTCTCGCCCATCCTTTAGATCCGATAATACGAATATGGCTCAAGTCTGGTTGTACCCCTTCCCATGCCTCGTAGGGTGTTGTTCCTAATCTCGTGCTAGGGCTTCGATTTCGGAGGTAGTTGATACCCTGGACGACTTCAGGCCAGTACTTGTCCGGGATGTTCTTGTCAATCATCGTTGGACGGAGCTTATTCTTGATTACGCGATTGAGGACTTCCGCGGCTCCGTTCTCCTGATGCTGGTCCGTTACCGTGAGCTCGTGGGTGATGCCTTGGTCTTTCAGCCACGCCTTCAACCACACTGACGTGAATTCTCCTCCCTGATCAGTGTGGAGGGTGCGGCACCACCGTTCCGTCGTTCGATTTCTCTTGATGAAATCGATAATAGCGTCCCCTGCTTGGTCTTTTGACTTCAGTGGGATCGTCTCGCTCCATTGCGTGAAATCGTCGAGGATAGCTAGCCAATATCGGAAGCCGCCATGTCCTTCTGCCCTAGGACCAACGATGTCCGCGTGTAGAAGGTCGAGCTTCCATTCTCCCCGTTGCAGGCGATGGGTGTGCGGTCGGTCCTTCTGCCGCTCGCTGGCGCAGGGGTGACAGGTGTCGTGGCCCTGGTCCACGCGGATCCCAGTAGACATGTTCTTCAGCTTCTTAAGGTTGTCTTGACCGAGATGAGCCATTCTTCTGTGCCACAGCCACAGCTCCGGGTCGACTTGGTATGCAGCTAAGGAAGTGCCGGATGTCGGGGTGGTGTCGAGGCTCATGATTCCGCGGTCGATCGTGACCAGTAGTCCATCAATGATGGCTCCAGAAAGGGTCTTCTTGAATGAGCCGATTTCATGCCAAATTTGATTCATGCTGATCAGGTTGACCCCGACGGTAGGGCAATATTGTACGTTCTTGAACACCACGGGCACTGTTGTTTTCTTATCTGTTTTGCAATAGATGCGGATTGAGCCAATCCCTACCGGCTGCACTTGAGATCCCCCAATGCCGTTTGATACGGCTCCAATAATGCTACGGTAGTCCTCAAGGAAGACGTCCTTTCGACCTATAAGATGTCCGCTGGCCCCGCTGTCAAGGATCCATTTGTCGTACATATTGTATCTAGTGGCGGCGAGGGCGTGTTCGGTTACTGAGGCGAGCGATTGTCGTGTCTCTTCCTTTGACGGGCTTGATAGCTTGCCGTCTTGTAGTCAGGCGGATTGTTGTCCTTCGAAGGTCCGTCCATCGGTTGCGGAGAGTTGGTTTATTCTCTGCTGTTTGTAAGCTGCTTCTCGGCCAATCGCCCATTGAGGTTTCTTGTCTGGAAACTTCTTCCAGCATCCGGAGCTCTCGTGCCCCCCCTTACTACAGTGCTGGCAGCGTTTCCGCTTGTGATCTCTTCCAGAGAAGAACGATTGGTTCTCGTTGCCAAGCTTCAGACGGTTTTCCCATGCCTGAGCCTCACTAACAAGCACCGGGAACCGGACGCTTGGAGGGTCCGTTGGTTTGGCGTCTACCCGAACGGAGATCTTATGCCGTGACTCAATGCCAAGGGAGAAGGACTGTTGTAGGGGTTCGTCCAGGCCGTTAACAAACATGCCGATAAGGAATCCCTCATCCGGCTTGCTCTTGCAGCCGTTCATCTTATTCCATCGCCGCTCCAATTCCGCAGCGAATTCAGCAACGGTCCCTCCGCAGCTCGATTGGGTGCAGCGGGTAAATTCCCTTACATCAAGTAGGAAATTGGCATCCTCTGTTCCGCCAAAAGTTTCGACTAGCTTGTCAAAGGCTTCTTTGACATTGATAATGCCCTTGACAGCTTGGTAGGCGGTATCCCCGAGTGTCGTTTCAAGCATAGCTTTGGCCGCCATGTGATTAGTCTCCCAGGTTTCCTTTCTCTGTCTGAACGACGCCTTGGTTTCTTCGATGTCTTGCGTTGGCTCAGGGGCCTGGCTCTTCATCAGCGTTCCGTGGTTGTTACGGTAGAGAAGCTGTAGGACCGTTCTTTCCCAGGATACGAAGTCCGCTTTGGAGTTGAGACGCGTGAACGTCGCCTTATCACAGGCGTCGCCCATCTTGCTGCGTAGATACAGCCCCAGGGTATGGGGTGCTGTCGAGTGCCAGACGTGTGATTGAGAGACAAAACTTCCGGGCGGTGTTGAGACTTCGTGATCGATAAAGTTCGGTTGCAAGGATCAGGTCGGCAGGGCTTAGTTCCTGCTTGTTGTCCTTGATGTTCGGCAACGGTGTTCGAACATATACGACCCTCTTAGAGCCTCTTCCTGTTTAAAGAATTGTCAGTCAAAGTTTCGATTTAGGAGGTGATTGCGGAGATGCGGCGTGTTCAGCTCTGGTCTAGAGTGTTCAGCTATGGTCCGGGATGTTCAGCCGTAGTCCGGAGTGTTCAGCCGTGGTCCGGAGTGTTCAGCCGCGGTCCGGATTGCGGATGTGTCACTCCGGTTGTCTGGGGATGGCTTCCAGCTTCCTCGGTGCAGCGCAAGTGTGCATTGACGACAGCTCGTCAAGGGGCA